TGCTGATTTTCAACTTCTGGCCTCTAGAACTGTCAGTCAATAATTTCCATTGCTTTAACAAGCATGTCTGTGGCAATTTGTTATAACAGCAATAAGAAACTAACACAGCTTTCTCCGTTTATTTCCCTTTGGCACTAATACCAATCTATCTTTCTAGAGCTAGATCTTCAGTACATCATTTACATTTGTAGGATGTTTTTAATTCAGAATGCCAAAGCAGTTTACAACCATGTAAATGGGCTCAATTTTGTATCCTGTGGGGCATTCAAGCAATACCAGATCCTTGTAAAATTGAGAGATGCCTGGACTATTTTATTTTGTACTTTCCTAAAAAATAACAGTATAATTTGAGTGTTTACAATTATCCAACTAATTCTTAGCAAAAGTATACTTCAGTAACTATCTCCACAGCCTCATTTAGAGTTAAGAGCAGAATTTTAAATGTGGGGTCCGTGGCAGACAGATGGCTCTACCACTGAGTTCCTCTTTCAAGCAGGACTTATTTTTCTAGCTCCTGGAAGCATCTTCAGCAAGTGGCTTTCAGCAGCCAGCCCCTTCAAAATTTGTCTGGACTGCAGAGCTGCCTCAGTCAAGGTCATTCCTTTGCTGAGTTAGTTCTTATCCTACAAGTGAATGAGGCCAGGTTATAGAGACTCAGCCAGAAAATTGGAAAATAAATCTGATGGGCCATATATGCTCTAGAACTCCCACAAGTGTTGATTGAGACTGCATCACAATCCAATTTCTCCCTCTGCCCGATTCTGCTTCTGCCCTCTTCCTTTCAGAAGTATTAATCCTAATAAATCACCTGCATGTCACATTCCATCTCAATATCTGCTTCTGGAAAGCCCAATCTGCATCAGAGCCCTTCATAACAAAAACCTTTGACTGCCACAGAATCTTAAATTTATTCTTCCTTTAAAAAAAAAAAATTCCACTGGGATTGTATCTTTCCTTCCAGTTCAAAGAAAAAAATCATGTCCTATAGCTGGCAGCCTCTCCAGTTTGCTCTCTCTATATATAAGGACAAAAGACTTCTCTGAGCTACATGTAGTTTAGGAATATGCATTGCCAAAATCTTCCTCATGTCCTATTCCCTTCCAGGTGTGTCTAATTTAGATATCTTTAACTTCAGTCATTCAATGGGTATTGTTGAGTACCACTTGCATACCAGGCATTATTCTATTGATACAGGAGTGATATGGTTAGGCTTTGTGTCCCCCGCCAACTCTCATCTTGAATTGTAATCCCCAGGTGTTAAGGGAGAGACCAGGTGAAGGTAACTGAATCATGGGGGCAGTTCCCCTATGCTGTTCTCATGACAGTGAGTGAGTTCTCATGAGATCTGATGGCTTTATAAAAGGCTCTTCTCCTTTTGCTGGGCACTTCTTCCTTCTGTCTTGTTAAGATGTCTTGCTTCCCCTTCACCTTTTACCATGATTGTAAGTTTCCTGAGGCCTCCTCAGCTATGCTGAACTGTGAGTCAATGAAACCTCTTTCCTTTATAAAGTACCCAGTCTCAGGCAGTTCGTTACAGTAGTATGAAAACAGACTAATACAAGGAGTATATACTTTTATCACACACCCAGAGTATAGCACGTGATATATGTTAGGTCAGATTTCACATATGCCTCCCAGGCAAGGTAATGTGAGTTCATTAGGCTAGTGTAAAACAAGTAGTGGTGGGGTCTGTGGCAAATTGAAGAAAGCATGCCACATCCAAAGGGGTTAGCTGTCTACATTAACCTAGTATCAAACTTTTTGTGATCAGCTAGGACAACCGGAAATTAACCACATCTTTTTGTGACGTAATGTATAGTCTGAACCATCACTTCTAGATAATTTTTTCCCCAAATACTTAACCTGAGTTAATTGACCCCTTAGGTATGAACTCTAATCAACAAGACAAGTGGTTCCTCTTCAACAATATTGTCACAGAAGAAAAGAAAGGGAGATAGGGTCTAACCTGGAGTAAAAGTGACTTAGGTGACATAATCAAATACAAAGCATGTGTTTTAATTGAATAATGGCTTGAAAAGAAGATAAATGCAGGCCAGGCATGGTGGCTCACTCCTGTAATCCCAGCACTTTGGGTGATCAAAGCAGGAAGATCCTAGGCAATATAGTGAAACTTTGTCTCTATAAAGAGTGAAATAAATAAATTAGCTAGTTGTGGTATGCACCTGTAATCTCAGCTACTCAGGAGGCTGAGGCTGGAGGATCACTTGAGCCCAGTAGTTTGAGGTTACAGTGGGGTAGGATGACATCACTGCACTCCAGACTGAGTGACAAGCAAGAGCCTGCCTCCAGAAAAAAAAAAAAGAAAAAAGAAAATGAATATATATTACATTTTAGAAACAATGGGGAAATTTGAATATGAATGAGTGAACATGGCATAAGGAAATTACATTTTTTTCAATGTGTTAATATTGACGTTATGTAGGAAACTGTTCTTAATAAATATGGCAAAGTATTAAGTTATTGAATTTAGAGGTAGATTAATAGATATTTTTCTTTCTAATTTACAATAAGCTTTAAGATTTCCATAATCAAAATTTTTAGCATAAATAAAAGTAGCAGCCTCTACAAAGCTTTTGTCCATTGTTGTGATGGGGGAATTAAGCCCTGTGTTACTAAATACTCTGAATTTTCAAAATAAACTGGAAATCTGGAATTTTTGTGTAAGACGCTTTTTTGACTTTAGGAAAATATTAGCAGTGAAACCTTAAAAAGGCAGCGAAACAAAACAAAAAAAGGTGCAGGTCTGATATAATGCATTTGGATGCTAAAGCTCCCATCTGGTCTTCAAATTTACCACCTTTGATCTAAGTCCTTGGATTTTAATCTGTTTCCTTACATGTTAGCTCTCTGACTCTGTATCCCTGATTTTCTTCTTCCTCTCTCTCTTTGCCATACTGGCCTCTACCACTTCACCGTGTCCTTGAGCAGTTGCAGGATAATCTGAGAAGTAATCAAACTATAGATTCGTCTGTAGTATCAGATGATTTAACAAGCTGAGAATTGTTTAATAATTATCCTAGAACACTAAACATTATCCTGATGATCTAAAATAGTTATTAAACCCTGTCACTTAAGATTATTAAATCACAACATCTGTCTTCAGGAAGCAATACTATTGAATATAATATTTGCAAAACATTTACAACTGCTTTTAGTTATATCTCATATTCTATGATAAGTTTATAGTTTTTTTCCTTATTTAATGGCTGGAAACACTAGCATGGAGTCCTGAAGGTAACCTGAATCCTTCATATGAGAAGGTCTTAGATATAGGCAAGCTTCCTGGATGATGGGCTGCTGCTTATCCAACTGAGCCACATTCTCTCCAGCCCTTGTTTGCTTTATTAGCTAATTACCAAGCTGCATATTCAACCCAGGTTCCAACTATATTAAGGGCTATTTACTGGCTAAAATCAATACCCTTTCGATTAGCCACCTGGCGTGGCTTTTGGTAGCTAAGCATTATTTGGGCTTCACTGCTTTTACTCCATTCGGGAGATAGGAAAGTGCTTTGTTTTGATTTTTTACACTTACTGGCTACTGCTCTTAGTGGTAGGAGATAAAGGGCAGTGGAGACCAGCTCTGCCTTGGCAGAACCTAGGAAAAAATACATAATATTTTACTGCACAAGGAATGGGGCAAAGAAAAATGGAATGACAAACACTGATTTTACTATTTTAAGATTCTTTTTCAATTCAATCAATCTCTTTGGATATATATCTGATCCTCCAGGCACCATATTAGCCCCCAAAATACAAAGATAAATAAAATACATTCTCCAATTTAGTCAAGTTGGAGAGAATGACACTGAAATGATAATTACCATAAAAGAATAAAAAGAGCAGAAAACAGATGTGGAAGTGTGTCCTGAGATAGCATGGCAAGGAAACAATTTTCTTTCCAGAATGAAAAATGCCATAAAGGCTTTTTTGTCAGTGGTGGTAAAACCAACCAAAAATGCTCTTTTTAGTGTAGGTATTTTATTACAGAAAGAACTCATGTTTATTTTGGAAACATGAAAATATATAGTTGAAAGAGGAAAAAAGAAACCCAGACCCTATAATCTGACCACTTGGTTCACAATTAACCCAGTGTTATTACTTTTAATGGCAAAAACTGCAATTACTTTTGCACCAACCTAATAACGTGCTATAAATATTTTGAGTGATTTCTACGATATATACATAAAACTTATAAAAAATAATAGAAAGCAAAAATATGTGAAGACATGGGCTTTGAATCAGATCATTCAAAACCAAGTCTTGTCACTTACTACCTTTATGATCTTAGGCAATCTGCTTAATCTCTCTGAGCATTAGTTTCCTCATCTGTAATATATGAGTAATGGGACCTACCTCAGTGGAATATTGTAAAGATAAATTAAAAGATAAAAATACGGTTCTTAGAACACTCCCTGGGGCATGTAAAGCTCTCAACATATTTATTCACCTAGCAAATATTTATTGAGGTCTCCATTCTAAGCACTTAGACCACACCAGTAACTAAATATGGTATTTATTTTTAATATTAGCATTATTATTAATATGCCCTATAAATCCTCTTTTTTTTTTAACAAAATATTGAGAACATCATTCAGTGTCAAGAAATGTTAATCTATATCTTTGTTTTTACTGGCTACGTAGTATTTTAATAGAAAGGTATACCCTAATTTATTCTGCTTACTGCCTATTCAAGAACCTATAAAGGCAGTTTCTAATCTGTATTACAGATAACATTACTTTGAATATCTTTGTATCCTTGTCCAGTTGATTCTTTAACATCAGGTGGGTGGCCGGGTGCGGTGGCTCAGGCCTGTAATGCTAGCACTTTGGGAGGCAGAGTGGGCGGATCACCTGAGGTCAGGAGTTCAAGAACAGCCTGGCCATCATGGTGAAACCCCATCTTCAAAAAATATATATATGAAGGCTGCCTGTGTGTTCCAAAAAACAAAAGAAAAATATATATATATATTAAAAAAAAATCAGATGGGTAATGTGCCAACATCATGACAAGGTTTGAGGGAGGCACATCACACACAACAGGATAAAAACCTAATCATCACATTTATGAACTATAAAAAGATTTGTCAAATTGATTCTTAAGGATATATCCTGTAAGTGAAATTGAGTCAAAGTTGATGAACATTTTAAATACTTTTCTCACTGTACCATCCAGGCTAGAATGCAATGGCCCAATCATAGCTAACTATAAACTCAAACTCCTGGGCTCAAGCAATGCTCCTATACCTCAACCTCCCAAGTAGCTGGGACCACAGGCCTGCACCACCGTGCCTGGTTAATTTTTTATTGTTGTCGTAGAGATGTGTTCTTACTAGGTTGCCCAGGCTGGTCTTGAACTCCTGGACTCAAGCCATTCTCCCTCTTCAGCCTACCAAAGTGCTGGGATTACAGGCATGAGCTACTGCAGCTGACTTAAGTACTTTTTAACATCTCTTACTAGCATTCTTAAGGAAAATCAGGAGAAGGGGATACCAGAGCTGGGTATTTAATGATAAACAGAAGAGAGGCAGAAAGAAAAGTGAGGGAAAAAACATCAACAGGAAGAGGTTCATTGCCTTAAAATTAGTCTTACATCATACTCTAAGGCAAGACATATTTTGGGTTAGTAGATTACAAATATGAGTAGCTTCAAAAGAGGACTTTGGGAATAATCTAAGATAAAAGATTAAAGAATAAGGGTTGGGGATTTTTTTTTCATTCAACTCTTTAGCAGACTCTAAAGAGTTGAAGCTAAAATGTTAGCATGAACATTTTCGTGATCCACATATCAGACAGTATTTCTAAGTAGGGCAAACAACTGTTACCTTTTAGTGCTCTTCTACTACCTACTCAACCTCTTTCTGCCCCCAGGAAAAGTACAAAACTGCAGGCTATTTGATGCAAAGTCATCGTTGTTTTTAATTTGGCGTATGTAAAAATAACCTGCAATGATTGTGTAAAATACTTATTCCTTGGAGTAAAGGGGTACCTACACAGATTTTGACTCTGTAAAAACAGTTTAGGGACTGAGGATCTGCATTCTAATGAGCACCGCTCCCCAGCTAATTCAGATGTAGGTAGTCCTCAGACTACACCATGTTGAAGAACCTATTCTAGACCTTTGTTACTCAAAGAGTGGTTCCTGTATTAGTAATAAAAGCATCACCTGGGAACTTATTTGAAATGTAGAATCTCAGACCTTACCATAGACCACATACACACACACACACACACACACACACACACACACACACACACAGAAAGGGAAAGAGAGAGAGAACGAGTTTCACTCTGTCGCTCAGGCTGGAGTGCAGTGGCGCAATCTTTGCTCACTACAACCTCTGCCTCCCAGGCTCAAGCAATGCTCCTGCCTCAGCCCCTCAAGTAACTGGGATTACAGGCATGCACCACCACATGTGGCTAATTTTTGTACTTTTAGTAGAGATGGTGTTTCACCAAGCTGTCCAGGCTGGTCTCAAACTCCTGACCTCAGGTTATTTTCCCACTTCTGCCTCTCAAAGTGCTGGGATTACAGGCATGAGCCACCATGCCCAGCCCTCAGACCTACTATATAGAATCTGCAATTTAAGAAGTTTCCTGGATGATTTGCATGCACATTAATTGTGAATAAACTCTATTCTGTAGGCTATCAATAAATAATATGTGAGTAGATCCAATGAAGAAAAAACATTCCATGAAAAATACATGTCTCATCCACTTGTGTTTTGGAGGATTACTTGGGCTTCACTGCTTTTACAGTGAATATGCACCAAGGAGCATTGTATCTCGAATCCCTTCTAGCATCCTATGGCATATAAACCTCATTCACTAACATTCCAGGAGATGTAATGAGAAAAAATGAGATCTAAATGATCTATTAGTAGTTCTCCAGGTATCTCCTTCTTATATATCAACTTATATTTTCAATGTGTAAATGACCTTATAGGAGGTTGCAGCAAAAAAAGATTTAAACAGCTCAAGGTATGATCAATAGATGCTAAATGAAATAAAATTAGTTTTGGTTTTATATCACCTCAGTTTCTATTGACCAACCTTTAAATTGTAAAATAAGGCTGGGCACAGTGGCTCATGCCTGTGATCCCAGCACTTTGGGAGGCCAAGGCAGGCAGATCACGAGGTCAGGAGATCGAGACCATCCTGACCAACATAGTGAAACCCTGTCTCTACTAAAAATCCAAAAAAATTAGCTGGGCGTGGTGGTGCATGCCTGTAGTCCCAGCTACTTGGGAGGCTGAGGCAGGAGAATTGCTTGAACCCAGGAGGCGGAGATTGCAGTGAGCTGAGACTGCATCACTGCACTACAGCCTGAGCAACAGTGTGAGACTCCATCTCAAATAAATAAATAGTAAAATTATGCAACTGAAACTAAAATAGGAGAAATTATGGGACTTTAATATTATCTAGCTGATATTTTAAGAGATGCAAAATAGGTAGAAATTCATCTGATAGAGATGTATATTTCATTGTATTAATCTCTTAAAAGAATCTGACTAGAGTTAACCACCTTGCAATCAAATCTGAGCATTTGTTAGGATGCCAAATATTTCATTAAATAGTTAAATAATTATTTCATGTAGGAATAGTAGGATTTGGAATAAACCCAATGGGAAAATACATTGTTGGACCAAAAAAAAAAAAATCGTTTTCTATTCTACAGTTTTCTGCATTCCAAATAAGAGCGCTGTTTCAAAGTTTGTCAGACCTTAAAAATGCTATGTAACTTTAGTCAGCATCACCTTTTATTTTAAATAAGACAGTGGATTTGGTTAAGAAAAACAGAATAGCCATAGAGCACTTAAAAGTTTTTAATTGGTACCTAAAATTATATGTTTTGATACTCATTTCACTATAAAAACACAGTTGAAAATTTAAGGAGATGGTAGAAGACCAATTTCCTCCTCTTGTAAATGCAAACTCAACCACATTCTGTCTCTTCAATCTTGTTCTTGATGATAAGGAGAATGATGATTATAAAAGAAAGCAAAAGAGGCTAAAAAAAAAAATAAGAAGAAAACCAGAAGAGAAAATATGGGGAAAGGAAGAGATCCCAATGAGACCTATCAGTAAGGAGGCTTTATGTCATTCAGACAGATAAATGTAAAGCCACCAGAAACAGCATCAACAACAAAAGAACTAGAATGTTGAAGCTTTTTTCCTTAAAACAAAAAAATGCCATTTTTTTTTTTTTTTTTTTTTGAGACGGAATTTCACTCTTGTTACTCAGGCTGGAGTGCAATGGCGCGATCTCGGCTCACCGCAACCTCCGCCTCCCGGGTTCAGGCAGTTCTCCTGCCTCAACCTCCTGAGTAGCTGGGATTACAGGCACGTGCCACCACGCCCAGCTGATGTTTTGCATTTTTAGTAGAGACGGGGTGTCACCATGTTGACCAGGATGGTCTCGATCTCTTGATCTCATGATCCACCCGCCTCGGCCTCCCAAAATGCTGGGACTACAGACTTGAGCCACTGCGCCCAGCCAAAAAATGCCATTTTTAAATAAAACTAAGCTTCATTATCAGCAATCATAATTCACAGTTGTTGGGGTTTAGAAAACAGTACTCCAAAATATGGCATGTTGACATGCTGAAATGACAAGCCTCGGGGTCTCCCTGACCTTCCCCTATCCTGCACTCCACAGTCTCTCCCTAAGCCTTTACCCACCTGCAATCCAGATCCATCTAAAGGAATAACGGTTTTTTCTTCCCCTCCCTGTAAGGCCAAGAAGAACCTACACCTGAACAGAACCTTTCACAAGACAATGTACAAATTAATCTCTGTTCTCTGATTCACTCATTCTCCCTAATAATCCCCTCAACAGAATTCCACTTCTTCCTCCTCCCGTAACACAAGCCAAGATGGTATATAAGCTTCAGAACCACAGTGGTTGGGTAATCACTGTGTTTCTCCCCTTGTAAACATGTTAAATAAATTTGAATGCCTTTTCTCCTATTAATCTGCCTCACGTCAGTGACTTTCAGTGAACCTTCAGAGGGCTCACCTCCACCTCCTGGGTTCAAGCAATTCTCCTGCCTCAGCCTCCCGAGTAGCTTAAATTACAGCTGCCCACCATCACGTCCAGCTAATTTTTGTATTTTTATTAGCGATGAGGGTTTACCATATTGGCCAGGCTGGCCTTGAACTCCTGACCTTGTGATCTGCCCACCTTGACCTCCCAAAGCGCTAGGATTAGAGGCATAAGCCATGATACCCAGTCTAATGTAACATCTTTCTTCAAATCAACTTACTCGTTATTCTTTATTTTTATTTTTAGAGGTGGGGTCTCTGTTGCTCAGGCTGAAGAGTAATGATATAATCATAGCTCACTGCAACCTGGAACTCCAGGGCTCAAGCAATCCTCCTACCTCAGCCTACCAGGTAGCTGGGACTACAGGCATGTGCCAACATGCCTGAGTAGGGAATCAACTTACTTTTGAAAAAATGTAACTTTTTCCTAAGAAAAAATTCCAGAAATTACACTTGAATATATATAAAATAAAGAAAAATTGTAAAATGTCCATGTATCACCTAAAAGCATCTCATGAACTAACAGTGTTTGGAAAATCCAAACATAATAGGTGCTCAATAAATATTTGGTAAATTAAGGAATAAAGTGACTTATTTTTAGTAGCTTGTTTAGGAACTTGAATACACAAGACACAAATAAGAAACCATTGCCTATTCATTAAGACTTTGCCCCAAATCATCAAACTAACCATATTTTTCATCTCCTGGCATATGTTTAATTGTAATAATCAAAGTCTCAGGTTTACCTAATGACTGGCATTAATCATATAAAATTGTGTAACTTTTCAGTGATCCTTTTTTATTGATTACATACCTTGCTGAGAATGAGATGAAAGAAAAATCAGAAAGTGGTCCCAAATATATTCTTCTGAGAATAAGTGATCGAATCACTCTTCAATGAACACCTACAATATGAGGGACACTGTACCAGCTTCTGAAAATGCACAGATAAATAATACTTAATCCTGGGCTGGGCACGGTGGCTCACGCCTGTAATCCCAGCACTTTGGGAGGCTGAGGCTGGTGGATCACTTGAGGT